ACCCCAAGCCCTCACCACCCCCCAAGGTCTGTCTCCAGGCGTGATTTGTTCCTTGTAAAACCGCAGAGATTATCCATGCTTCAGCCCGTCTTCATGTCTTATCATGTTTCATCTCCAACGACGACGTTTACAAGCAACTCTTGGCTTCAAAGGGCTTGGCAGCTGCATTTCGGGAGCGGGAGTAGGCAGGAGATAGGGCCCTGTGGGCTCTGCACGCCCATGGTGCAGTCTGCCTGTTGCCTGGGCTGCGCCCTCCGCCTCTGACTCTAGTGGCTTTTTGTTCCCTTAGTCTAGACACTGTGGATTTTTGCTGGGCCCCCATGTCTGAGCCAGGAACCCCTGATGTGTGTCTGGAGGTGTGGGGAGGGCAGGGAAGCTGGAGTCAGAGGGAGGATGGCAAGGGCTGGTGTAGGGGACAGAGTCACTGTTCTCTGAGGAGGGAGTGGGGGGTCAATTTTCAGGGTCCTTTGGTCAGACCAGAAAGCCTGCAGCTTAGGGCGGGGGCTGGTGAAGGGGAGGAGTTTGAGGCGCCAGCCCCAAGATGCTCAGTCCTGGCAGCTGGGTTCTGGGTCTCCCTTGAGGGCCAAGCCTGACAAGACTGGCTGCATGCCTGTCTGGCCAACTGTGGTGGTGGCGTGCTTCCCCTGGAAATGAGGGGGCATGGAGTGTGGCCTTCTCTGGTGCCCTGTCCACTGGCCAGGCTGGACTTGCTTCTGGGCCTAGGTCACCGGTGTGTGGAGAGCTGCACACTTGGGGCTTCCCACATTGGGAAGGGTGGCTGGGAACTGGTGGCAAGCCTGTGAACACCCCCCACCGTGCACACCCACGCACACATACACCCCACGTGCACACGCGGTCCAGGGCCCTCTGCAGAGCACGGGGCTCCTGAGCCTGCATCTGTTTCCTCGTTCCCGATGGAACATGCTCACAGTCACCATGTCGTCCCTGGGGACTCTTGGCAGGGCATGGATGGCTAGATCTGGCCCCAGAGCCCCAGTGCCCTGATGTGGGGACCATTGAGATGATACCCAGGCTTCCCCAGGATGCTGAGCTGCGTCTGCTTTCAGAGGCCCGGCTTGGGGCTGTGAAGCTGGAGGAGGTGGGGATGGCGTGGAGGCAGAGAGAGTCCTGTTTGCACGAGACCCTTTAGATTCATTTTGAGGATACAGGCTGTTGCCAGGGCGCCCCTCTTGCACCCTGGAAGGATTGCTACATTGTTATCCCTGCCCACTCTGTGCTGATGGCTCCAGGAAGACCTAAGGGAAAGGAGTGAGGGTGGCTGGAAGCCAGCTGGTAGCCCTACCCGTGCAGGAGAGGGGTCTGGCCTCTTTCGGCAAATCCTGCAGCTTCAGGCAGGCTCCCTGCAGGTGTGTGACCCCTTCCATGTGGCTACTGATCCCGGAGGCCCTCCTTCCTCCCCACTCCTGGCCAAGGGAACTTCTTCTTCTGTCCCTCCTGACACTGGGAATCTCGTCTGCCTTGGCAAAGCCTTCTGTGCCCCACTGTCCCCAGGGGGAGCTGGTCACCAGGAAGCCAGGCCCCAGGAAAGTCTTTCCTCTCCAGCCTTGTCTCCAGGGAAGATGAATTATGAGTAGTGAGGTCTGCCAGGGCAGGAGCAGCTTCAGGGCACCCCTGTGCTGGGGTCCCTGTCACACGTCCACTGCCTCCTTATCATAAAGAGTTTGAGAGCTAGGCACCCAGAGAGATGGGGGCTAGTGTCATCTTTGCTTTATAAAGTAGGAAAGTGAGGTTCAGGGAGACTTGATAGCTGCAAGGTCCCCTGCTGGGAGGGGGCAGAGCTGGGTGACAGCAGGGACCTCTCAGCATTGAGCTGGGCTGCACGCGCCACCCCCCCCCCCAGCGCTCCCTACCAGGGTGAGGTGGGAACAGTGGGCTCCCGGGGCGGGGGTGGGTCGTGGGTAGACGTCTCTTAGGGGTCCCTCTCCAGGAGGAAACTGCATCTTCTATGTGCTCAGGCAAATCCGGCATCTGAAGTGGAAAACCCCACATAAATCAAGGACAGCTGGGCCTGCCCTCGGTCGCAGCCCCCTCGCCTTGGTCCCCCTTGTAGGCTTCAGAACCCCAGCAGACTGCGGGAGTGGGTCTAGGGGGTAGGGGTGTGGTTCCAGGGAACGGAGTTCCTAGAAGCCCCGCATGTGTGAAATCTCCCCCAGCTGTCCCCCGTGGAGGGAGGGAGGCACAGTGTTAGTAATCACTTTCCGGAGCGGGGCAGCTGCTTACACACCCCACCCTGCTGCCCGTGGGGGCTCGCGCTGGGGGTGCCCACCCTGCGGAGGGGACAAGCTGCGAAAGAGGTGGAGAGAAGTGTGGGGGAGGGGCGCTCACGTAGGCTCTTTCAGCTGCACATGTACACACACCCCCTGCCCCCACAGAGCCAGTCCACTGGTCATTCAGCAAACATTCATGGGTGCTTACCGTGTTTAGACGTGGAGCCACAGAAAGGATCAAGACTGACTCCATCGCTGCCCTTGCAGAGCTCATGGGTAGGGGGAGGAGACAGATGGGGATCACAATCACCCATGAAGGAGTAATTACAGTCTGCAGAGGCACTCGGACGTAGCTGGGCAGCTGGGTCATGGGTCTGTGAGGCCAGGCTGGGCCTTCCCCTCACCATGACCTTCCTCCCCAAGACTCCCTCCATAGACGGGCCCTCTCTGTCCCACTCTGCTCTGGCCCTCCCCGTCATCTCCCCCACGGATGGTGTTTACTTGGTCCAGCAGGCTGAAGCTCAGCCCACCTCCTCTCCCCAGTTCTCCCTCCTCCCTGCCCACCAGCACAACAAACCTGACTAGCTCAATATCTGACGGCTGGCCTAGGGAAGGTGGACAGACGGACCTCTGCCTGGCCATCCGGCCTGGGCAGGGAGCCCAGACTGGGTGAAGGGGGATTGAGCCATGTTGGACCCTGAAAGCGAAGCCCCCCTCGCCCCCGGGGAGGTCTGGCTGGGCAGAGAGACTTGCTGATGTATTTCTTCTTGACAGAGGAGGTGAGACTGGACAGGGCAGGAGGTGGGTGACCCTCTCAAGGTGCAGGGACAACCACCAGCCTTGTGCTCCCATGGCCTGGTTTCTTTCAAGTCACTTTCTACCACTGTCCCTAGATCACAGAGGCAGGAGCCAGTGGAGAGCCAGGGCTGGACGCTGACGGCAGGCTGGGGCAGGGGCAGATGGGAGGATCTCTCAGACATCCCGGGCAGGAGGGAAGGCAGCAAACCTGCGTGTGAGGAGCATGGACAGGCAGATTCTGAAACGCCCAAATTCAACCTTCAAAAGGACTCTTTGTAAAGGGCTAAACATGGAGTGACCGTGTGACCCAGCAATTCCCCTCCCAGATATATGCCTGAGAGAAAGGAGACGTGTTCACGTGAGAACTTGTGAATGAACGTTCACAGTAGCATTATTCACAATAACCTGAAAGCCGGAAACAAGCCAGCGTCCCTCAACAGACAAGTGGATAACAGAAGGTGGTCCATCCACACAGCGAACATTACTCAGCCATAAAAAGGAACGAAGCTCCGAGCCTGCCAAAACATAGATGATCCTTGAAGACGTGACACTGAGTGAAAGAAGCTGGTTGCAAAAGACCACGTATTCTATGATTCCACTTACATGAAACATCCAGAACAGGCAAATCTATAGAGACAGAGAGCAGGTTAGAGGTTGCCAGGGGCTGGGGGAGGGGAGAATGGGGGATGACTGCTAATGGGGATGGGACTTCTTTTTGGGGTGATGAATATATTCTAAAATCTACTGTGGTGAAGGCTGCACAGCACTGTGAGTATACTGGAAACCACTGAATTCTACGTGCTAAATGGCTCAGAGGCATGGTATGGACGTGACATCTCAGCAAAGCTGAGCACCAGGACTGAGGTCCCCATTTTACCAAGAAGGAACAAGACGCCCAGGCTGGGCTCCGAGGGTGCACTCCCTCTCGGAGACGGGCCTCTGCCCTCCACCCCTGCCCCATACTCTCTGCTGCTGCTGTCCTCGGGATGCTTGCCTGACCCTCACTTCCTCCAGAAAGCCTTCCTTGCCCTCTCCGCCCGTTTACATCCTTCCACCAGCTGACCTTTATCAAGTGTCAAGTATCAGCCAGTTTCTGTTAGGTGCTAGGGATACACTGGTGAGTAAATGTTCCAAGCCTGCCATCCTGGGTGTCCCCAGATTTGCACCCACCCCTCACTTGACAGTTGGGTGGTGGCTGGAGGGAGGGGGTCAGCTAGTAATCTGTCCTTGTCCCTGGCTTCATTCCCCTGCCCTCAGCATATTAGTTTCCTGCTGTTCTTGATAAATTCCTTCCGGAAAGCCCTGAAGCAGGTGTCTGGGTGGTGGGAGGGTTGGGGTGCTGAGGAAAAGGCATTCTCAGTGGGAGGAACAGCATGAGTGAAGAAGGAACAGCGTGAGTGGAGGCTGGGAGGTGGAAACCCACTATGCCTGTGCTGGGCAGGGAGACAGAGGGGCCACCAGGGCTTAGTGCTGCATTTGGAGCCCTGAGAGGTGCCTCCTGTGACTGTGGGTGGGTGCTGCAGGTGGAGTGGGGCCCCACCCAGCAGAGCTCTAAGGAGAACCAGGCTGTCTGGAACAAATCCCCTTCTAAGCTAGACTCTAAGAAGAACTTCCTGTGACCCTGTGTGTATCAACATGCACCCAGACAGTGCTGTGCCAACAGCCCACCTCCAGGGCTCCTGGCTGAGTCTTGCCCTGACAAGCAGGTGCAGGCCTGGTGTCTGGGACCTGGGCTGGGGCGCTGATCAGTGGTCTTCACCCCATTGGCTCTGCAGAGACCCCTCGGTCCAGGGCTGCCTCTGGGTGGGAGCCCTGGAAATGTTTGTGGGTCATGGAGGCCCCTGCCCCTTGGAGGTACCCCAGGTTTCTGGGACTTGTCCAGATGCCTTTAGTCTCAGGAACAAGCAGAACCCAGGGCAGTGGACTCTGAGCATCCGCTGGAGAGAGGCTGGCCTCTTTGGAGAGTCCACACCCATGGGGCACCTACTTGCGGTGAGGAAGTCTGGGGCAGAGGTGGAGAGAGGACACGGGTCCAATTCCCTGTCTACCTGGGACTGTTGCTCACTGAGCCCTCTCTCCTCTATGCTTTTCTTGTGCTGTGCTGGGGGTTCAGTGAACCTGGGGGTGCATAAAGCTCCCACAGAGTGTCCAGCGCCCAGCAGGTCCCATTACTGTAAGTGACCCCTGGATCTCACTGCTCCTCAGCAGGAGCTGCTGGGGGCAGGACCCGGGTTCCTCTTTCCAGTCCCCCAGCCCGCCTCTCCCGAATCTTCTTATCTCCGACAGGAGCCACGTTGCCAGCGTCAGAGATGGGTCCCTGACATCCCAGGGCAATGCCAGGTGCACAGACAGGTGGTGTGACATGGTAGAAAGGGTCAGGAGACAGGTCTGCATGGGCCCTTGGGACAGACGCCTGTCATCCCTGAGCCTGTTTCCCCGGACTCTAAAATGGTAATCATACTTGGCCAACCCTCTCCAGCCGCCAGGGCAGTGACCCTGACGAATGGCAAGCCGACTGTCAGCAAAGCGCGCCCTCTTCTCCCCTCAGACTTCCCTCGACGCCCGGGAACCCCTCTGCGCAGCAGGGCCAGGGTCCACGCGCCTCCTCGATCCACTTGCTCGGCCCGCGCACCTGCTGCTCCGCTCTGGTCCGGGAGGGCCGGGGATCCGTCTTCTAGGAGCAGGTCCTGGGGCAGGCACCTCAGTCCTGTCATGGCTCTCAGAGCCGACCGGTCGCTGCAGCATCCAGGCGCATAATGATGATGGCCCTGGAGCCGAGAGGGCTGGAGCCCAGGGTGTCCGAGAGGGCGCGTCCAGGTAGTCCCTGAGGCTCCAAATTGCGCCCGGGCCTCCACCGCCGCCGGCGCGTCCCGGGC